CACACACACACACACACACACGCACACACACACACACACACACACACGCACACACACACACACACAAAGAGAGACACACCCTTTTTGGGGAATTGTATGAAAGGTGGGTCAAGGGAAAGGCGTCTTCGTCACTCTGCCTCGCCACCCTCATGGTTAGGCATAGAAAAAAAAAAAGTAGTGTGTTTCCGGTAACCCGACCGACCGAGAATTTCTACGTCGAAAAAAAACTTTATGGTCGGCATTTTTTTCAAACAACCCTCTACATTTTTGTGCAGAGGGTTTACGTCGGTGCAAACTCTCGCGATATTCACGTTGAGCGCGTGCGTCGTTTGCCCTGTTGTCTGTCAACGACATTAAAACATGGTGGCGGCCGCGATCTCCGACGACGGTTTAAAACGCGTTTTCTGTGTTACAGTCGCGTGCTCGCACCGTAATGTTAAGAAAATAGCATCCATTGATGCATCGAAAAAATAAAGCGAACTATTTGATGAACACCGCGGGCCGAGTAAAAACCGAGGGCGGAGGAGGACGGCGCGCCCCGGCCCCCGACTCCGGAGCGGGGAGAAAACTAAATAGGCGCCGGCGCCGGCCGCGTATCGGCGGGTTCATGGTTATTTTGTTTAAATTTTTGATGGGGGAAAAAAAAGATTAAAAAAAAAAAAAAAACTTTGTCCGACCTACCGACCCTATGCTGACATTTCTTGTTACCGGAAACACACTATCTTTTTTGTTTGGCTTTAGAAGTTGATGACCCAGAGCTCTGTTTAGAATAATTGGCTTGATCTATGCTGTATTAGACTATTTGTTAAGGATTGAATACTTTTCTGTGTTACTGACTCGATGGACGTGTGCATGTGGGTCATTCCTGAGCCCATCAACGAGCACCCCGGAAGTCCGCCAAGGTATTTGATTATCGGTCAAGTAGTGTGGTGGAAATTCCGCCTTCAGTATTCACGATGAAAGGGACTTAGTTTCACCATTGAAGACTGGAATGCAGAAACTTTCCGAATCAGTTCTTCCCTGTGGTATTTCCATTGCTGTCTTTGTTCAAGTCACGTTACGCCACCGCGCAGTTTGATCACCATGCTTTTATTTGTTTCAAAGAAAACTAACCACAACACACCCATAGTCGATTTCTAACATTCTTACCAAACACAATATCCTTGGGTACATGTATGAATGAGCTCCCTGTTAAAGGTTTTGGAAAATATACGTTGGTAATTAGCTTGAAAGGTGGTAGCAATCTTTCTAGTACAAACACCGCTATCTATATACATTTAAACAAGTTTTTTTGTAGAAGTCGTGTTGGTGTGACTTTGTGCCATTTGCAGTTGAACACATCCTGCTGCATTGTAAATGTCTTATTTCAATCGTCCGAGATGGTCTTCTTTCTACCGTGTTTGTATGGGAGTCTGCGTCGGGCTGGCAGCTCTGTTTGCGTTCTTGCGGGTGATGGTTGTGCAACGGCTGAGAATCTCATTAGTCTGCGGCCTGGGCGGCACCTTGGGCGCTGAGACGCTCTTGAAGATGTTTGGGTCGGAGATGGCGGGCGTCATTCTTCCACCGTTTGCACTTTGCGGACTCAGCGTGTGCCTGCTCGGCGGTGGAGGGGTGCGGCTCTGGCGAATGCGGTAGTCGTCGGTGCTCATGCTCAGGGTGTCGATCATGCTTGCCGAGGACAAGCTGAATTCGTCGCTGCTGAAGTCGCTGTCACTTGTGAACTCTGTCTCGCTGTCCCCGGTCTGGCTGGAAGGAACATCGCTCTCTGAGTCATTTTTCACCATGATGATGGGCGTAGGGACGTAACTTGCATTGGGAGGTGGGGCGTATCCTGGTTTGGGCGATGGGGCACGTTGTGTATTCGGAGGCGGCG